TTAAAGTCAATAATTAATTTTAAGGAAACAATACATAAATAAGTTATTTACTTTAACCAATTTCAAAAATACAAAAACAAGTTTCAGATTTCAAAAATCATGTTTCTTTAAATTTTTATTTATGAAAATAATAATTATTAAATCAATTTATTTTTAAATATTTGATTTTAATATAATATAATTAACCCACCCCACCTCCACCACCCCTACAACTCCGGTGACTATTCCGGCAACCGTTCCGATCATCACTCTTTTCCGGCAACATTTCTTGTGACCGTTCCGGCGACTGCTCCGATTCCGACGAGTATTCCGATGAACATTCCGCCACTTTTTATGTTACAATTCAAAAATTTCATAGGTCACAATTTGTTTATCGATCACAACTTAAAAATTTAGAAGTCGCAATTTATTCATCGGTCACAATTACAAAATTTAAAAGTTACGATACTTATTTTATGGTCACAAATTAATAATTTTTAGGTTACAAATTAATAATTTTTAGGTCACACATCTTGTATTGGTCATAGTTTATCGAATTCGTTGATCACAAATTGTTTATTGGTCACAAACCAACCAAATTATTGGCACAAACCAACCAAATCATTTGTGACCACTTCGCCACTGCCTCCAAAAGCGACACCACCACCGTCGCCGCCCAACAGCAACATCAACATCTCAAACAAATCAAACACCACACCCTCCCCCGCCACTATCACCACCCCCAAAACCGCATCCATCACCAAGGCGGCAGCGACAACGATGCCACCAACACCAACACAACCGTTTCTCAACAGCGCTCCAACAACAACAACAAAAACCACGATCTCAACACCACTCCAACAACGGTCGTCGCCTCACGCACCAACACGCAACCGCCGCATCCAACTGCACCATTGCCACCCACAAGCACCCAACAGATTTGTAACCACCACAATCATCCGACAAATCAAACTCGAAAACTATTAAAAAAAAACATATCGGGCGCCAACAACGCGGTAAGGGAGAGAAGACAGAGAACGGATCTGAACGCTCGACACCACTTCTTCACCTTCACCAAGTCGACAGCGACATCGCAATGAGGAAAGAGACGAAAACTAAAAAAAAAAAAATACAAATATGGGTGCCAAGACTGAGAATAGATCTGGGTGCACGACACCATTGCTTCACCTTCACCAAGCCAGCAGCAGCGTCGCAGGAGAAGACAGAAGGACGATGGATGTGGAGGGTGGTGGAGGCATCGTGTGGGGATAAAATGGAGAGACGGTGAGAGAGTGCTTTCTTCAAATGAATTAGTTTCAGGGTTTAATTAGTATAAAATAAAATAAAAATAAGAAGAAAAGATTTTAAATTATTAATTAAA